CTGGCCAGCAGGCCCCTCAGCACCTCCCCCACCTCTGCCCCAACACAAGACACACTGTGCAAGTGAATAATGCCAATGATGACAGGAGTGAAAGGAAACTTCCTCACCTGTTCAAGCACTGTGGACAAGAGCTGTAACTCTAAGTGCACAGATAAAGCTTCTCTTTTTTCCTGGGGCAGCAGTTAAATAGAAAGTTAGAAAAGTGGTGTTAATTCCTCAATTGGCATAAGGCCTATGGAAACCATAGGAAGTTGTAAGTCAGTATCTAACACTCTAGCATCAAATAAAATACTACTTCTTCTAAAATAAAATGCTACTGAGGTGACAGGCACCATGTCTTCATGTGGATTGTGAGTTATTTCATGAGGGTAAGATAGACATGGATGGTAACAATTGAGTAATGTGAATACCATGATGTCAACATAAATTTTGTGATAAGCATATGAGAGAAAGCCATAGATGATAGAGTCAATAACTCTCTCTCCATCATTGACTAGGACTATGGTTTCATGTGGCTTTAGTAAGTGGAAGCAACTAATAGAAGATTAGTCTCTTACTTAGGAAGGAAAAAAACTAATAGTTTAGTAAAGTCTTGGTATTTGAATGAGAATAATTCTATGACACTATAAATATGGGAAATATCTGCTGGTCTGTGATTCCCTTATAAAACACAATGATCCAGTTACTGTGATAATAGTTAATAAACAAGGATATTTTAAAAATGTTGCAGGATATTGTATATACAAATTTGACTACACTATAAGAATTTACTAATTTGGGTCTTCAATAAACAGTGTTGTAAATGATAACTTATGTTGGGAAACAAAAACCTATTAAATCTATCGCATATCTAGAACCATGAATTCTGGAGCCAAAAAGGACATTGGGGACAACTGTTCCAGTCCTGGACAGGTCAAGGGGTTTGTGGGAGACTTGGCTCCTGAACTGTCATCTTCAAACTCAGGCCAGGAGTTCTCAACCTTCCTTCATGTCCCTCTTTCATGGGTGCAGCACCTATGTCTTTAGAAGCAAATGGTTCAGAGAATGACTTCAGCCAGGACTTGCTTCCAGAGCCACTGGCATGTCCACCTGCCACCAGTGGTGGAGAAGCAGGTGCACTTCTCAGGCTCTAAGGACCACATGGCTTGGAAGCTGACAACTGAGGTCTGAAGGAACCAAATTGTTACTTAAAGAAGAAACATGACCCTTTGGGAAACCAGATCTTGGGAGGTTTTTGGACTGGCTCCAGCTCTACAAGCTAGTTCTTCAGGTCATTAAAACTCAGACAACAGTGACTGTCCTTAAGTCAACATAGGTCTGCCCACATCCAGCCAAAGTGAAAACTTAATCTAAGTGTAGGGATCCCATCTATAGCAAAGCTCTAACTCTAGTTAGGAAAAACTAGATTTCTAAAATTGTTCTGCTGCTGCTAGAGCAGGATTTTGAAAACCCAATTCCCAGTTCAGGTGCCGTACAAGGTCACTGAACTGCTATGGAAGTCATCATTGATGGTGACACATATGCACATTCCTCTGCTTTGGCTTTCAAAGAGCAGTGATGACAGTGGTGGCTAAAGGGCCACATGAATCTAAGGTGCTCCTTCTGTGTAGGACCAGATTCTCTGGGTAAGGTAAGAGCAACTTGCAACCAATTCAGCATTTGGGTTTCCTCACTCTTACTCACAATACTGAAGTGCTTGTGTGTGACCTAGGGGCATTCCATTTCTTCTGTTTTAGTGCTGTCCTAGTCTGAGTTTCCCAGAAGCTCAGTCTGAGACAAGGTTTTCAGTGTATGTGGTTTATTTGGGAGGCCATCCCAGAAAATAGGGGTAGAGGAGTGGAGAAATGGGAGAGGGAAGGGAAAGGAGTCAATGAAAGCCCCCTATCAAGCAGTGTATCAGTGTGAGTGCCTACAGCTAAATCTGCTAAAGAATTTGGGGGGTTGTGTGTCACTCATGCCTCAGCATTGCCACCCTGACTGGGGGCAGGGGAGCTGGGATATTTACATCCTTCTTATCAGTTGGGACTACTCCCAAGAGTGGCAGTTCTCTGGCACTGCCAGCCTGCCTTTTGCCCTAGAAGAGGAGCTCTGGCTGCCTGTGAAAGTTCTTGGGCAGTTGGACTTTAGGCCAGTGTGTGCTACCACAGTAAGGAGGTAAGGGTGGAGCACTGGCAGCATGTGGAATAGTCACACTAGCCCAGACCTGCTTGACACCATGGTGTGTGTGTCTGTGTCTGTGTGTGTGCATGCACGAATGTGTATGTGTTGTGTAGACTGGTGGTGGGTGGATCACATGGAAGTCAAATCACACTCTGATCCTGGAGATGGGAGCCTAGGGGTTCATTCTGATGCAGTGTTTCTCCACTTACATTCCACATAGCATGAAGGAGCACCAAATGTGGTTACAGACCTATGGCTTGACACTGAAAGTGTTGATTAGAAGTCGGCACTGAGCTAGCTGCTTCTTCGGTGCCAACAGACGGATGTTATTTTGTGACAGTGAAGTTTACTTTCCTTGAGATTGTTAAAGAGGATATGCTAATTGATATTTGTTGGGCTTCTGCTATGTGCTAAAGCCTGTGCTGCATAATTCAATCTTCACAATTCCGAAAGACAGTATGATTATCTGTGCTTTACAAATGAGGCCAAGATATGTTTATCCAATCAACACTAAAAACCTGGGCTGGGTCCTAGGGATCAATTAAAAAAATAAGATGGGTTGGCCTGTTGACCTGTTGAGAGCAAGTACAGGGACCGCATTGCAGCTAGAGCTGGAGTGGAGAAAGAATTGGAGGGCTCTAGAAGGGAGACTAGTGAGGATGTGAACACAGTAAGCAGGCAAGATAGAACAGTACTGGCAATGAGCTCAGACATTAACCAAATGTACAGTTTGCAAACAGCATGACTGTTTTTAAAACGTAGTCTCCTAAAACCCATCTCTATACAGTATGCTTCTGTTTTTAAATAACACTCAATATGTGTTTGGCTTCCCTTTAACCAGAGTTGTCCTATATGATGGGAAAATGCATTAACTATGCTTCTCATTTGCTCTGTGGAGTTTTACATACAAAGAATTATGTCTAGTTTAGGGTGAGACTTGAGCTTTGAGAAGCTGACCCATTTGGGATTCTCTTCATTCCTTCTCAGTGAGGACATGGGTTGGGGCTTGTCACCCTGTGGCTCTTCCTTTCCCTGCTATCATTCTTCCCAGGAGAGCACAGAGTGGATGGACTGGTGGGTGTGCCTCCAGGTCACTCCATGAGGGCTGGTGAGGGGTGGCAGTGCCTGGCCTGCCACTGGCACAGCCTGAGTTTTTAGAGCTTTGGGACCATCAGGCAGCAGAGGCAGCAGGAGATAGAGCCATTGTAAGAAATAAAGCAGCATTCTTCCATTACCATCTGGCTTTCAGCTTTAGCATACAAATGTGACTGTACTGCAGTATCAGTTCCAGTAACAGGATCAGAGCCCTTTATCATTTAAAGAAGCAAAGAGGTTGGAGTCTATACTCCAGTGAGGGGCTGCCTGCGGGGACCAAGCTCCATTCTCCAATCCATAGACGTGCCAGGGGGGCGATTTATGATGAGGACTTGATGATTTTATGAGGGTGGGATGGGAATGGATGAAAACAGAGTCCAAGGGGTTGGAGGGTTCAGGAGCTCCACCATGGGCGACAGTCCCCTCTTCCCCCATGGCCAATTGCTGACCACCTGTAGTCATTACTGGGTGGGTCAGGCTCCTCCACAGTATCAGCCTGACTGCTGAGCAGATGGACAGAGCTCCTATGCCCATGAAGATCACCAACAACTGTTATCCTATATAGTATGTACTCAGGACAGGAGAAAAACCCTTCCAGGTGTCTTCTAGAGTCATCTCTCCAAAGATGAGATACAATCTTTTTACTGAATGGGTTGCAAGTACAAAGAAATCTAGATGTTAGCTGAGGGAACCTTACTGGAGCTACACAAGAGTCAGCTTGTAAAGGCAGGGGAGTGGGATTTGGGGATGAGCAGGTTTGTGATGCTGCCTTGGCTCTGAAACTTACTAGCTGTGGGCCTTGGATAAGTACCTCAGTTTCCTCTTCTGAAAGAAGTGGTTGCATCTGTTATAAAGGGTTATTTAATGAGCTAATTAATATATATATAGCATGAGGCACAGAAGAAACCCTCAGCAAATGTTAGTTTCTTCCTCTTCAATGGAGGCAGGCAGGGAGACCCACCATGAAGGTGCTTTGAGAAGCTGTGGGGGGAGCCAGGCCGGGTGCTCAGAGCCCTGAGGAGGAAGGCATCTGAGATCTCTTTCTGCCAGGGGTTGGCTCTATTGTCTGTGATTTTCAAAGTCCCTTGCAACTCAAAGGCTTGCTTGGGGTGGGTGGGTGGGGGAGGCGGGGGGGGGGCGAGTGTGGGACTGAAGATCAAGATTGGGGCTTTGGGGATCCCAAGAGCAGAAATTCTTTTATCTGTTTGAAACACTGGAGTTCTATATAAAGTTTATGCAAAAAGCACTCTCAGGCTAAACCAAACAACCAGCATTTGAAAGCTGGCATTGCAGTGGCCACTTTTAACATAACACAAAGACTCTACCATGGAATGCAGCTTTGACACTAATTGAAAGATGGATTGCCTACATAATACCAATCCATGGGCAAAATTCTTCTGGGAGAGGGTGAGAAATAATGCTTTTTGCCAATGAGAGCAGGGTCACTGAATATAGACTCAAAGACAAGGGGCTGTTTTGATAAAGGACAGTAGAAGGAGACAAGATGTCTTGTGAGACAGGAAAAAAAAAAAAAACCAAAACAAAAAAACCCCAAACAATCCAGAAAACAGTGGTACTGCTTTCCTGACTGTACCTAGTGCTGGCTAAGAAGGGTTCTCTTGGGCCCCCCCAAGGACATAGGAATGGGCATTTTACAGACAGCTCTTTGGGGGCGCAGCACATCTTTCCCTAATGCTCAAGCTGCAGAAAGTCAAGCTGTCTGTAGGTGGTGTCTGGGCCCTTACCTTCTTCAGCTCTTCCTGGACACTCTGGTTGTTTTCCTCAGAAGACAGACTTTCCTTCAGGTTCTCAGATTCTGTCTTGGGCTCAGATTCCTGGTCCTCCCCTGAAGAAGTCTCCTTTTCACTCATTTTCATGGCTAACTCGTATAACCTATTTCTCAGCTTCTCCTCTGCGGTGTCTGTGCTGGTCCGGGAGTGCTGAGCCTCAGTGCTGATGTCAGTCTCTGACAAATCATCAAACACCTGTATGAAAGCCAGAATTGTGAGACGAGGGCCTCTCTGCTAAGTCACGCTGCTTGTTGTCCCCAAGAACCCCCAGGGAAGCAACAGTACAGGGAGGGAGGTGACAGCTTTTTCCTGACTGCTGTTCTCTTAGTTTCACTTTCTTAAGTGCATACATTTGAACATTTGGCAAAAGAGGTCAGACAGGTGAGCATCTGTACTCAGAAAAGGGTCTGCATATAATTTTGTTTTCATTCACAGATTTCTCATTGAGCTCCCACATGGGCAGCATTGAACCTGAGCAAAGCTGCCCAGGCCTTTCCCCCGCCTGCTCCCTAGTGGAGGGGATGCTAAAACCTCCCCACTTACACCATGCTTAAGTGCAGAGAAGATAGCATGCAGGTGGGAGAAGGGGAAGGGGTCTCCACTTGATGGGAGGGGTTAGGGATTAGGGAAGGCCTCCCTGCAGAAGGGAAGCTTCAGCTGACAAAGTCTAGCAGTTTGTCTAGCTAAAAAGCAGAAAGGCAAGGTCAGTATTTCAGGCAAAGGGAAAAGATTATGAGATGGAACAACGTCCTCATACACATACATAAGGAATGTGACATACCCTTAATAACTAAGTTCCAGCTTTATCATTACACCTCGTGTTCCTATATTCCATTTGGTGACTATTTCTTAAGTTCCCTCCATGAGTAAAACCCTTAGCAGGCATGGGAAGCTCCAGAAAGCCATGGAGACTGTGGTTCTCACTCTAGTCTTGGCCTTCATTTGGGCAGATGTGCACTGACATGTTCATGTATACATAAGTGGCATACCATCGGGGGCTGGCAACCCAATTTTAGTCTTTGAGTATCCTCTGGGAGTTATTCTATTTATTTCTAAGGCTTGGTATTTCACAGCTTTTATTTGCTTAGAGGGCTTCTGAAGAACAAAGAGAAAATTTGCTTATTTTTAAGATGGAGTAAGATCCATTGTATTTTGCATTTACTAAATGAGTTCACTGATTTAAAACATATTATAAATCTAATATACATCATGGACTCTTTCTAATTTATTTTTCCTGTCTTTTAAAACATTTTGCTGTTCACTATCCTCAGGATTATTTTTCATCATTATTCGTCAGTTATTTTCAATTGTACTGAGAGATTAAAAGGATAAAACAGAAAGAGAATGGAATTGCCTAGATTGAATTGAAATCACAAGATTTCAATTGTGAAATAATCACCAGTTTAACTTTCATTACACACAATCAAGAATTCAAAATTTTTCATCATGGTACAGGGAAGAAAACTGACAGAGAACAACATGTCACAATTATTAGATGACTCAGAAGATGGACTCAGTTGTCTGAGCAGCTCTTCAGACTCTGACAATGATGGTGGAATTGGGCTCAGTGAAAACACAGACTTGTGTCTTCTGATGACAGTGACCTAGCCTTGGTGAATTTTCTCAAACTCAAGCACTGATGAGTAAGAATTATCAACATATTGATAAAGATAAGAAAGGAACATCATGATGTTTTCATCCAGTAAGTCATTCAACAGGAAGGGCTTCATCACGAAGCATTCTGCAATAAGAATCTGGATGATTTGAGCTTATTTTGCTAAGAAGATATGTGACAGGTTGTTTTATCCTGTATGAAGTTTGTGCATCAACTTTACTTGTTGGTACAAGTTTGTAACTGGATGAATTATAGAGTCAGATATCTTATTCAAAGGTGATCAGAAGGAAATAGATGAAACAGGACTTTGAAAAAATTGCTCAATTAATAAGAAAGAAAAAGGGTCCAATGGCATTTTTTTTCCTGGTCCCAAGTGAGACTCACTGGTGAGGCCTCCTGAGAGTAACCAGTGCTTCAAGTATGCTCAGGAAGGAGAAATTCCTCAAGGTATTGCTGTTAACCTGAACTAGTTTGTTCCCATGCTGTGGCTGGTAAATAAGGCATTTATTTTCATTATAAGTTGTGTGATAGGAACAGCTAGACACACACAAAAATATACCCCAAATTCTGGTCAGCTTAGCATAGAAGAAATAAAAATTCACCACCTGGATTCTTCTAGAATTTAATATTTTAATATATTTCTCACTGCCTCAAGGAGGGCTCATTACATGGAAGGACCTGCATTTGGTAGAGAAACTGCACAGATGAGTAGGTAGGGGAACCTGCCACCAGGGCATGAATTTGCTGAAGTACATTATGGAATCAGGAACAGGATGTCATCTAGAAAGCTTACTTTTAGCGTTTATTATTAGAGACTGGTTGCTTTGTATAGATCGTGCTGTTTACTGAGTCCTTTGTACTATAAAATTCATTTGAAAAGCAAACAAACAAATCCTTCCTTTAATCTGGGCACTTCTCCCACTCCTGGAGCCTGAACTCTCTCTCACTGTTGGGTTCTGCCCTTACCTCTGTTTCCCTTTCTGGTTTCCTCTCTGACAGAACCAGATTATACCATTTGTTGAATAATTATTCCCCAGAAGCATAATGCTACCATACAAAATTTCTGGGAAATTGCTAACATGGGCTTTTCAGATCAATGTTTACACGAGGAATGGGAGGATTTAAGACGTTTTTATTTTTCTTTAGTTAAAAATTTTTTTAGATCATTATTTTTATGCTAATTATAATGGGTCTCTTTGTGGGGAAAACTGGGCAGAAGAAAGCAGCATCAAAGTGGATTACATTTGTTTTTTCCTTGACTCTGTTGTGATTAGGTGTGGACTAGGCTCCGTAACCCAGGGACCTGGCAGTGATTCAGAACCTGGACCAAAAGCAGCCTGAGAGTCAGAAGAGGCAGGGTAGGAGACTAACAATCATGAGATGATGTCCAGGGCAGGGTCTGGGGTGGAGGGACTAGACTTCTAGTCTCAGATACCTACTTTTCAGCTGTCCCTGGTGACCTCCTCTGTGGTTTGAGTTGGGTCCGTCATACATAATACAGAGCTCAACATTTTCTTTCATGGAGTTGACATGGTTTTATTGTCACTTGTAAACAAAGCTAATTAATAACAGTGCTAACTAATATCTGTCCAAAAGAAAACCCAAAAGATTTGAACTATGCAACACTGAAGTCATCATTTTTGGTGGATTATCCTTAACAGTCAACAGATTCCTGGTTAAAAATCCTATTCAGCGAGGCTCCCCCAGCTCCCAAATGCCCCAACACTGGATGTGAATGTGTATTGTATTTATGCACATTTTTTCCTTCCAGAAACCTTAGAGAATTCATTAGGTTTTCAAAAGGGCTCATGACACAAAGGGTACAGCAGTGTCTCAGTTTCTAGATGTGCTCTCTGCAGCCACTTTACCTTGGAAGGCATATACACAGCAAGCCTCCTGCTCAAATTAAGGGGGGGTCATTTGACAGACAACAGACATGTGGCTGCGATTTGTACTCACCTGAGGGGTATCTGGTCATGCCTGTTTCTAAACTGTCCCCAGGCTATTATCTGAACTGATTTAGGCTGTTGTGAAATGGGGTGGGGAGCATGGGAGAAGGCAATCTTGCCTTAGTTGGAGCACATTATTATGTCTCCTCTTTGGATGTCATAGAAAGAAAGGCCCCATGCCTAAAAAGATTTGATAATCAATGGTGGAGAACTGAAAGGCTGAAGGGAATTATTGGTCTTTGGTCTGTGTACTGGAGGAAGTTCAAGTACAATTTTGAGTAGATTTCAAGGCCCTGCTTGGGGATGTTCTCTTGACACTTCAGAGTTTGGTGTACTTACTGAGTACCTCAAGATTCACTGTCACTCCTGTCCCAATTCAACTGCCAATACACAGAATCTCACAAGCACTTGCCATGGCATCCCTTGAATTCAGAGCTACCCAACACTCATGAAACAGGGTTTGGGGAGGAAGGCATCCACTCCTGTATATATTGTCAGACTTAATCCTGTAGTGACCTGGCCCCTCAGAAGTCTGAATTGACCGAGTGTGGCTTCTGTGTGTGTTGTGTGACTTTAAGAGACACCATGAGACGCATCCCCCCAAGGCCTCTGTTCACTGGAAGCAACGGATAGTGGAGGGTGCTGTGTCTGAATCCTCTCCGTGGGATTCTGCTATCGTTTGGATCTTGGTTTCCCCCAAAGGCCCATGTGTTGACAGGCTGGTCCCCAGACTGTGGTGCTATTGGATCTTTAGGAGGTGAGGGCTAGTGGAAGGAAATTAGGACATTGGGGTATTCCCTGAAGACAATATTAAGACATCCCAGCCTCTTCCTGTTTCTTTTGTTTCCTGGTTGTTGTGAAGTGAACATCTTCCTCTATCACACACTCCTTGCCATGATGTGCTGCCTCTCCAAGGTCCAAAGGCAATGAGGTCAACCAACCATGGACTGAAACCCCTGAAACCATCGGCCAAAACAAATCTTTTCTACTTTTAAGTTGATTATCATGGGTATTTTGTCACTGTAACAGAAAGCTGACTAACTTGTATCCACAGGATAAACTTCTTTTGTATCTCAGCTTCAAGAGCAATATCCTTGAAGGAATAGGTTTATTGCTGGTATGGCTTCCATGACTCAGAAAACTGCTCACATCACCCTCCTCCTATTGTCTTCTAGAGCTGCATTTTTGGTATCTCTAGCCTATGACTGTATTCTCATTACTCTATTTTCCGAACTAACATCACTCCTGGCTTCAGCTTATCTGGCCTACCCTGGTTTACCTTTGTCCTTCTTTTCTCATCATTATATTTTAATTTTATTTTCTCCTGTTTATACTTATATAAACCTCTTAAAAATATTTCTGGAGCAAGGCATATGCATATTAAATAAAGGAATGTTTACTGATTGTTAATTATACTATGGCAAGATTCTTAGCACAATTTTAAAGAATAATTAGAACCCAGAATGCTAGATGGGGGCAAATTCACCCGAAGAAAACAAGTTTCACTGATGAGTGCAACCAAAAATGAAACACTGGAGGGAACTGAAATAGCAGCATCTTATAATCCTGAGGTCTCAATCAGTGGAAGATTAATCAGCAAGCTTCCATTTTAAAATGGCACCTGGCAACCT